GAACGGGCAAAAAACGTGTCTCTCAGCACGCAGACGCCCAGCCTCTGCAACGCTTCACCCGGCGGATTTACACGGGCCGAAGATGAGCGATCTTGAACTTCGGTGGCCGCAAATGGGAGGTGTGCCGAACAGAAAATCGATAGCATGCCACTTGTTGACGCCGGCGGCACCGTAAGGTGACCACCCGTCCCGCAACTCGCGGGACTGTCCCGCATCGAGGGCTCGTGTCCGGCGTCTCGCAAGAAATGCCCAAATCTTCAAAATGTCCCGTATTTAACATTGTCGTAACATTTACTGCGCAAATTATGGCGCTTCCGAACAACGGGCAACGGGGAAGCGCGGAGGTCGCTGATAAACTTGTGAATCTCGATGATATGTCATTTTCAAGCCAAGCACTGCGGGGAGCAATCGTCGTTCTGACGCGCATGCGCCGTTGTGCCTCTCCCCTTGATGGTAAAGTATTGCAAGCGAAAATTGCTCCCCAAAATTTGAAAAATGAACTATTGTAATTATTTGCACATCATACTGTATCATGCGAAAGGGTTGTTGTGGAAAGTTTTTTTTTTTTTTAGTGAGGACGGCCACACAAGGTAAAAAACTTGCAACTCACAACGTTAAAAACACAACAACATAAGGTTAAATTTTTGTGTACCAGCATTTTAGTATAAGAGTAAGCATCGACAGGAAACAGTAAGCCGAAAAATATTTACTATTTCCTAATTCCTTTTGAGGCATTGGGGTCTGGTGCAGTAGATTTTTATATTTTCATCTTTGAAACTTCTAATAAAATATTTACCATTACAATTAAACAAAAATATATCACTGTGGGTGAAACTTACCTTAGTTTAATTGCCGCGTACAATTTTGTACAATTTTTAGGTGTATAATACGCTTTGGGACAGGACAGGATTTCGAGGTGTGCGCATTGGTGAATTCCTCCTCTCACTCCCCGCCCCGCCCGCCCGGCCCCCCGGCCCCCCGGCCCCCCCCCCCCCCCCCCCCCCCCCCCCGGTCAAGGTGTCCCGCATTTCGCCGGCAGGAAGGTGGTCACCCTACGGCACCGGTACCTAACGGGTTTCCACTTTGATTGGTGCACGGTGTGGATTGGTGCCATGGGGCGGCGCATTATGGCACCACGCATGCGTAGAAGTGCGTCCTGCTTGAGCACGCGTAGTACGAGACGCTGTCGTGCCCCGCGCGCTCACGCACAACACTTGAGACGCTTCACGCCACGTCCCTTCGAGCAGAAATGCACCGGTATCTACCGGCATCCTGGCTACAGAGCCCCTTTTTCGTCATAAGGGCGGCAGCACGTTCGACTACCCAAGAATGCGGAGCGCTCGGTGCACCTTATACCTCTGCTGCAGCGACCAAGCAGGGATGTGCGTTTGTATTCCTTTATTTCGCTGCCTCGTTCCTCTTTATTCAATAAATATATATATATATATATATATATATATATATATATATATATATTTCAGTTGTGGGTCAGCGCGTGTTTGTCTTGTGTTCGATCCTTTTGTCCTGTACCTTTGAACGCTGTTCATCTTCATGTTAAACGCTATCGCTACAGCTGGCGAAAACTGAAAGTTCTAGTTTTTTTGTTTTTTTTTTTTTCATTTTAGTGGGGAAAAAAATAAAACAAACTCTCTAAACGCTTTCCGAAGCCACCGCTAGATAGGATGGCATATGCCCTAAGAACCGGCTTACAACAACAACAAAAAAAAAAAAAGGAGGGTGGGGGGGGGGGGGGGGGGGGGGGGGGGGGGTTGCCTTTAATTTTTTGTTTACTCGCCACCATTTTTTTGCAGTTATTCCTCGCTTGCCACGTGGTGTGCATAAAAGCCCGTTTGTCCCAGCGACTTCGTCCTTGCCGTTGCTTCAGTTGAAGTGGGTGCAGCCGACGCAGGTGTTTGAACGAGGCCGCCAAGAGGTCGTGACACGAAAATTAAACACGGCTGTCGTCGTTGCCGTTTCCGTTCCCGTCAACGGAATTCTACGTAGATGAACCCACCCGGCACCAAAAGGTTAACGACACAAAAATTAAGCATTTCCTGTTGATGTCGCTTCAAGGGAAACTGAAGCGGTTCTGTATTTGAGGAAGAACACCTAAATCGTCTTCATCTGGCCTCCAGGATTACGAATATCGAAATTATTTTCCAATTTGGTGCACGGGGGCAGCAGAAATTAGTTTTCAAGGTACCGATGAAGCCCCCCCTTCTTCCCGGGGCGTGATGTCATATCAGGAGTTTTCGGAATCTCCGCTCTCGCGCATCTTCAGCGCCTATCAACGCTGTGCACGCGAACTCGTGCTCTTTTCAAAAGGGTGAGAAAGGGGCGTCACGACGTGTCAGTGCGGGGGAATATTGGCGACGTGTGCAATCGAAAGCGTCGCTGTGGTCGGCCTACCACGATTGGCCGAACGCTGACTACGACGTCAGAAAAGGATTTCTCATCGACGGAAATAAGAGGAATGTATAAACTTCAATTTTGACGGTGTTGGCAAAGTTGGTTTCAGAGCGCTATGATATCAAGCTTCCAACATCTCATTACAAACGCCACCGAACTTGTTGTTCGCAAGGTCATGACGTCACGAGAGGAAACCAAGCGAGGACGCCACCGTAACATCTCGCCGCTAATTGCACGCGCTGCCCACACGAAGGACACGCGCTTGGCGGCCCAAAGATCCCAGTATGACATCAGGACTGGTCGGATGCTTTTCGTGTTTTCTCGCGTTTGGTTTCATCTTCGGGGAAAACGAACGTGATATTCAGATTCGCGGGATAAATATATACGCCAAAATTCAGATTTACCTCGTTTTTTTGTTTTTTTGTTTTTTTAAGAAGTGTTTTAGTTTTTGTTTCAGTTGTATTGAAAGAAACGCATGTGTATAGCCGAGGCTCTAAAAGTGTCATGACATGAAAATTCAAGAAGGTAGATTGTTTCTGATTGAAACCATACAAAGAATATTTAGAGACGCAGTAACACTTATCATATACATGATACAGAACGCGTGGAGTTTGTAGCGGACATGATGAGAGAATTATCCACGCACCGTCCTCAAGCATGTTGGAAGCACGTATATATACACTTGGAACATGTCTTTGGGCAGTTCGTGTATGACCAATAAAACACGGACATCATATGAGGAAGTCTCAAACCGTGTCTGCAGGCTGCCATTGGTATGGTGTCACCGTGACCACGCTGCTCTCATGAGTGTTAAAAAGTTAAAAAAATTTTTACCTGCCAAAAGAAGATATTATTTGGGCACAGTCTCCGTTTCCGTCTACGTGTGCTACGAATACAGCAACTTTGTTCGTAGAAGAAGTAATGAGGAAATGGCGTGCCCTTGATGATACGATTGTGATTATAAAATACAATTTTTAATGAACCAATAATGGCGACCTCTCCGGTCGCCTGGAACCCCGACAACTACTATCGTTCTCTGGAAAGTTCATTAGCTAAACCTACACCACTTCCCGAATCCAACAACAGTTTTGCAACGTTGGAAAGCATCAGAATGATTCAGAATCACTGCGGAGTTGATACTCGGGAAGATAAGACTGGTATTTGGGGAGAAACAGACCGTGGCATTTGAGACAGGGGAACTGCCGCGGGGACAAACGTGCTACAATCGCATACCCTTCCAAGGTCGTCGCTTAACCGCGTGCGCCCAAGAAACCTTTCTTTTCTTCTTTTTAGTGTGTGTGTGTGTGGGGGGGGGGGGGAGGGGGGGGAGGGGAGGTGGTGTAGGCGCTGATAATCTTCCTCCTTTGTGGCTTTTGACAGACGCACAACGAGACTGGCAGAACAAGCGCATGATTCATTTCTCTCGATGGGGGCGTTCTGTCTGTGTATGCGAACATGATTTTTTCCCCTTTTAGTAGTTACTTGTTCTTGCCTTGACTCGGGTCCCAGTGGGTGCGTTGTCATTGTATGCCCACTATTTTTTTTTTTTTTTTTTTAGTTTATGGTAGTTTTTGTGCTGAGGGGTATCAAGGTAGACGAAAAGAAAAAAAAAATTATGTTTGTCCTTTGTCCCTCTTGTTCCCCTTCTCCAGGGATTACTTTCGTCATTCTTGTCCAGCTCGTTTGCACCTTTGCATTTAATTGCATTATGAGTATAACCTTAAATTGCAAGCTTCACCCTTGTTGGTGTTCGACTGGTGGCGGCTGATAAAACCCGTTTGCTCTACTGTCGTCTAACCCCTAGTTAGCTCAGTTGGTAGAGCGCTCCACTTGTAATGGAGAGGTCCCGGGTTCGATACCCGGACCAGGCGGATTTTTTCGGTCGCTCACCAGTCACCTAGCTGTGTTTGGAGATTTATGTTTGTCCTTTGTCCCTCTTGTTCCCCTTCTCCAGGGATTACTTTCGTCATTCTTGTCCAGCTCGCTTGCACCTTTGCATTTAATTGCATTATAAGTATAACCTTAAATTGCAAGCTTCACCCTTGTTGGTGTTCAACTGGTGGCGGCTGATAAAATCCGTTTGCTCTACTGTCGTCTAACTCCTAGTTAGCTCAGTTGGTATAGCGCTCCACTTGTAATGGAGAGGTCCCGGGTTCGATACCCGTACCAGGCGGATGAAAAGAGGCCACAAGGAGGCGACGTCTCAAACACAGCTAAGGATTTTATTCCATCGTATGCACTTTTATACACACCACGTCCACACACCAACAACCAAGTCGACCAATGACAACATAACACCCGGAATACACTAAGCCAAACATAGGCCCAAAGCATTACAAGAGAAACATCTTTCAGCCAGACAAAAGGACAAGATAAGCCTCCGACTACACAAAGCTGTGTTTGAGACGTCGCCTCCTTGTGGCCTTTTTTCTTCTCGTCCCTTTTCCGAAATACCCCAGTCTCGGGTTAAACAAAACTATGGTTAACTTCCACCAGCTCGCTTGCACCCTTACAATTTTTTCACTATCAATCCCAGAAGCAGGCTTATTCCATTTTTCGTATGGACCCACGTTTTCCCCACCACCGACTACGCTACTGGTACAAGCGTACACGATTTTGGACATTTTGGGACGCCGCCTTGCCGTCCTACAGGCAGACATGGCGTTCTTCGGGATCTCTCTGAGAAAGCGTCACGTGGACCCTGGGCTCTTCGGGCATCTTTCGGCGACCCGGATTCCCTGGAGCTGCAAAAAGAAGATCATCAAGGCGTACAGGGATGCCACAAGTGCCAGGGTGCTTGAGCTGAACAGGGCATCGGTTCGGCTTTGGACGATTCTACTCGGAGAGGGTTACAGGAACCACCAGAGGTTTCAACTGTGGGACACAGGAAGAAGACAGCATTTTGAACGAAACTGGTATGTGCGACGAAGATTAGTGTTGGACGCTGTAAAAAGGTCGAATGTTGGGTTTGGAAATAGTTGTAGTTTTGTGAATGGTGACCAATCCGCTGGGGCTCGGAGGTGCGGTATTGTGAATCCTTGTAAAGTCGCATTTACAGAGAGGACGGAGGAATTGTTGAGAGGAGGACCGAAGTTTTGTGTAAATGTAAAACCGTCGAGAGTAGATGTTTTTTCCGCGATCCAGACAATTGCTAGAAAAGTAGGGTTAGACGAAAGGGTTGCTTTTGTGGACTACGCGGTCAGTAGAATGGAAAGAGTTGTGGATGATTCGTATAAAAAAGACAGGAGGAATTTTCAGGCTATCACGGAAGTAAGAAAGGACTTTAAATCTAGATCACTGGAATTGTTACAGACCGATAAGAGCGGTATGTTTGCCGTCCTTCCATTGGCGGTTTTTGAAAAAAAGTCAACAGAGGCATTGGACTCGGTATTCATGGCATGGCAAGGCAAGTTGGGAAAATTAAGGAAGGACATCTCAGCTACACTTAAAGACGAGGGTTTAGAGACCTTAGCCAGGAAAGTCCTGAATCAGCCGAGAAGCACTTTAAGTTTAAAATTCTTCTTAAAGGACCACAAGCCGGAAATGCCGTTCCGCACGGTTATTAATGAGAACGGAACGTGGCAAAGCATGGTTTCGAAGTTTCTTCAAAAAGGTTTAGACTTCCCTAGATTGGAAAACAGTCTTTCGTTAAGAAACTCAGACGATTTTGTTCAGATTTTAGATGCTCACCATGGGAGGCAATGCTCGTTGATCTCGATGGACATTAAAGATCTGTACTATTCTCTTGAAAAACAGCTGTTGATGAGTAGGGTTAGAGAGGCTTTGGAGCGTAATTTGGTAAAATTTCAATCAGGTACGGGGATTCCGGTAGATAGTTTTTTAGCGATCCTGGATCTTTATCTTAAAGCCACGGTAGTGGAGTTCAAGGAACGCATGTGGATTCAAAAGAAGGGTGTGTGTATTGGGTCTGCGGTGGCACCTATTTTGGCAGAAATTTATTTAAACTCTTTGGATAACGCGATCTCGGAAAGGCTGGCAGTTTGGGGGTCGGGTGAAGTTTTAGTAAGAAGGTATGTTGATGACATTGTGGTCATGAGCTTTCATGGGAAGGATACGGGAGCAATAGAGAGTCTGGTGAGAGCCTCAGCACCGGAACTTACCTTTACTGTTGAAGGGCCAGACAGAGGAGTTTTGCAGTTTTCAGATGTACGTATTCACGTGCAAGAAGGAGTGTGCTGGGAGTACGGAAAAGAATCGGCAAAGCCAGTTTTAAGTAGAAGAAGCTGCCATTCAAAGACTGTGAAGGCTGGGGTGGTCAAATCAATAATCGGAAACGCTCTAAAGAAGTCATGTCTTCATTATGTAGGCCAAGCCCTCAAAAGGCAGTGGGTGAGGTTAGAGGATGCGGGTTATGATAAAGTTTTCATCACGAGGCAGCTCTCCCCAAGTTTCGGCAAGAGAAATGGAACAACGAGAGAAAGAAGTAAAAAGGTTGCCGTAGTCCCGTACTACCACAGTGTTTCGCACAACCTTAAAGCGAGTGCTCACAGATTTGGAGTTGACGTAGTGTTTTCAGCTGATTACAAATTAAACAGGATGACTCTGTTCTTTGCACCTCCAAAGGAATGCAGAAGGCAACATCAGGACAGGTCAGTGGCTTGCAAAGGAGGTGTAGTCTATGAGATACCCTTAGCATGTGGTTTTAGATATGTGGGGCAAACTTCGCGGTGCGTGAATGACAGACTGACCGAGCATAAAAGAAATGTAAAAAACGGGGCACCGAACTCGGAGATCGCCAAGCACGTGTCTGAGTGCAACAATTGTAAGGTGTTTTGGTCGGAAACGGAGGTAATACATCGAGAGGAAAATGAGATAAAAAGGGTAGTGAAGGAAACAGTCCGAATTAAGTCGATGGGAAATTGTATTAGCCAGCCATCAATGCATCTAGGAGAAAGCTCAAGAAAATTCCTCAAGATGTAAACCCCCCGTTTTTTGTTTTTTGTTTTTTTGTTTTGTTTTGTTTTTTTTTTGTTTTTTTTTAGCTATCCAGCACTTTGTGCGCTGCCTACAAAGATGCAGTACAGGTGCAGGACATATTGTTTGTTCTGGTATTCCTTGTTACTTCTTTCAAGTGTGTAGTTGAGGCTGGAACTTTTGCATTCTCCCCTTTGTGTATTTTGGTTCATGGTCACCCTCTTCCGCTTTCCTTTAATGTGTAGCGCGGGTTAAAATGACCGGTTGCCGTTTTTTTTTTTTTTTTTTTTTTTTTTTTTTACGGTGACTATGTATTGGCTAGTTTAATGGTTTGTTGCTTGGCTTTGTGTAATTAGGTCTTGTATGCCCTCTTTCCCTTTGGTTCCGTGTGTTTGCGGGTTTGAAAAAACCTTTTAACGGTTCTTTGTTGACTTTGTGTAGTCGGAGGCTTATCTTGTCCTTTTGTCTGGCTGAAAGATGTTTCTTTTGTAATGCTTTGGGCCTATGTTTGGCTTAGTGTATTCCGGGTGTTATGTTGTCATTGGTCGACTTGGTTGGTGGTGTGTGGACGTGGTGTGTATAAAAGTGCATACGATAGAATAAAATCCTTAGCTGTGTTTGAGACGTCGCCTCCTTGTGGCCTCTTTTCTTCTCGTCCCTTTTCCGAAATACCCCAGTCTCGGGTTAAACAAAACTATGGTTAACTTCCACCAGCTCGCTTGCACCCTTACAGTTTTTTCATTACCAAAGGTGCAGGATTGAAAGCGTAACCCAAGCACTTGAAGAGAAGGGGAAGACGGAGCTCTCTTTTTATCGGGACTCTCTTTTATGGGTCTCCACGTCGCGAGTGTCTTACATTATCAACTTTCATTTATTTCTCGCTCGTGGCTTCCAAGTACTGCGCGCAACTATTGAGATTGGGTATAGTCATAGCTGATTAACACGGTGCATATTCTAACACACAATAGTTTTGCGAAATCAAGGTTTCGCTGAAATGGATAACTCACACGTACAGTTCGACGCGCAATACCTTTCACGTATTGACTCGCGAGAGATGCTCCCAACACGGCTGAGTCTGGTGGTGTTCCAGACCTAACGTCTACATTTTGTTGCCTTACCTGTTACTATTTCGCGCGCAATTTCGAAATGAAAGCGCATGATGAAAGTGAAGCTTGTTTTCCAAAATTTCACGCCAGCTCGTTGTCTTCGCTGGTACTTTGAGCGTTTCCCAGCGATGCAGACCGTTCAACAAGAAGAAAGCGTACGATGGCATCATTCGATCGTACACTCATTACTTCTATAACACCGAGCCGTCTCGTACCCTTTTGTTTTTCTTTCATGGTACTAATTTCTTTTGCGCATTACGGCTGTTACGACGCTAAGTCTGGCTGCACCCTCGAATTTGAACTTAGCTTAGATCAGGGAAGGACCAGTTTAAATCAGGAAAATATAATTAACACTGTAGCAGAGTAAATCCATCGGTAACCGGACAAAAGCTCACCGGACAAAAGCTCACCGGACAGAAGCTCACCGGACAAAAGCTCACCCGTTTTTTGACAGACCCGGACAAAAGCTCACCCGCTTTTTAACAGACCCGGACAAAAGCTCACCTCGATTTCTTTATTTTTTTTTTTTTACTATCCGGGCGAAACACGGGCTGAAATAAAGTGCGGACGCAATGGACATTGGACCATTTTTAGGAGAACTTGTACCTCATCCACCATTGAGTTGAGAATTTTTTTTAAATACTTTGAAAGAACTGGAGTTCGGCGTTTTGAAAAAGTTCAAGACAGATGACCAATTTAAAAAAATTGTGCGGGATTTTAGATAGGCTCGGGGTCCTTCCACCACAGCTTGTTCCAGAAGAACTGACCACCAGGGAAAAGTCTACCGGTGACATCGCTACCTACTGGACTATTTTGATTGCACGTATTTACACGGCCGCTTACGTTATGCTTCTGTTCCATCTGTGGCGGCACCCAGAGCAAATTCTTCCCTTCGCCTGACTCTGCGCCGACGGCGACCGGAGTTTCCCCCGGTACGGTGGAATATGTACGACACCACTCTTCAAGATAAAGATCGGATGAGCAACACCTGCGAAAGATAGAGTACCAGGTTCCAGAAGCTCGTCGGCCACGCCCATCCAAGCTTCTTGAGGCTGATTGAATGCCTACAGCAAAATCAGGCGCTCGTTGCCACGGCATTGACAAAAGCCCGGAGAGGTGAGCCCACCGTAAAGCGGGTGCGAAAAATTACTCTGCACCTGCAGAATCGTCTTAGAAATATTGGCGAGGGCTTGCATGTGCATCGAGATCTACCAAGACTGCTGGAGCTAGTGGGGCACTGCATTCGCTTCTAACCAATCGATAAATAAACTTGTTTCTACTCAAATCAACAAACCATGCGCCTGTCAGATTTAATTTATCGTTGCCTTTTTGTGTCGCACGCATGCACCTAAGTTGTCCGCACTCGTGTTAAGACCAACATGAAATTTTCTCGTGGTGAGCTTTTGTCCGGGTCTGCGAAAATATGGGTGAGCTTTTGTCCGGGTCTGTGAAAAAATGGGTGAGCTTTTGTCCGGTGAGCTTTTGTCCGGTGAGCTTCTGTCCGGTGAGCTTTTGTCCGGTGAGCTTTTGTCCGGGATTCAATCCATCATATCGATCGGAAATACGATTTGACACATTCCATCTGAACACATACTGTGCACAGCGATGGCAGTAGAAAGTCAGCGTGCAAAACGCAGCCCACACTAGGCTACCATAACATCTAAGCGATTTTTGCATAGCACCGAGCACGGAAAAGAGAAAACAAATATTCATTCACATAAACGAAGCAAATTTTTTTAAAGCCCGGACACTCCGTACGTCCAACCTAGCTAAGGGTTATCAATAGACTCGACCATGTCATTTGTCGAAACAGATAAAAGACGTTCTCTGTGTCTGTTCCTTCTACTGAAAGTTCTTCCGATTTCTTCCACCGCAGTCTCAGGTGTAATACGACATGATTAGATAAAAGACGTTGGCAAATATGACTAGACTGAATAATAATAATACTTTATTTGCATATATTTTAGGTGATCCAGGCCTGCAAGGGCCGCAGAAGGCAGAGTGCCCATACCAAAAGGCCTGCGAGCCCTAACGCACGTATTTTACCAACCGGGCCCTAACGCACGTATTTTACCAACCGACGGTCGCGCGCCTTCAATACCTTGGACACACTTTGGGAAGCAATACATATTCACATCGCCGCCCGAGGTCTTCATTGAACGTGTAGTGCTGACCAAAATAAAATGCTAACCTGACTCTCAATCGCTCGCCGCAAAGGACGATTTCGAAGAGGCGGTACTCTAAATCACTTGAGATAAAAAAAAAAAAAAAAAAAAACAAGCTATAGAAACGAGCGTCGTAGAAGGAGGACCGACATTTTTATTCCTACCTCCGAACAGAAACGAGCGCCACCCACTGCATCACACAGAGTAGAGGCCGGACTCGGCCACCGCGCGTATTATCACTGACGTTCGATGCTACGTCACTTGGCAGCAGCGACGGCAGTCGACACTTCTTCTAAAGAACACGCTCCTTCGCAGATTTCCTGGATCGCCTGCTTCGGGTTGATAATTCTACCCGTGTTTCAACGACAGTCCGGTGAGCGGCCGGACCCGTCTTGCAAGTCACCCAAGCCCCCAAGCCTGCGCTTGATCGGATACGTTCTCTTCAACGCGGCTGACTTCGCACCGGACATCTGCGTGTCTACGATTGGCTGCTCTACGTTCGTCAGCAGTATAAAAGAAGGAACTTTTTGCATCTTCCGTCACTTGGCAGCTGCGACGGCAGTCGACACTTCTTCTAAAGAACACGCTCCTTCGCAGGTTAGTTCTTTTTCATTTTTCAATACCCTAGTGTCTGACGAAGTTGCCGTCGCTGCTGCCACTAGTATTATTGGTTGTGTCAAAGTGTGATCCGCCGCAATGGCAAAGGATCTGACGCGGCTTTTTTCCGAACTCCGTGATGAATTGAAATCGGAATGGAAAGCAATGAGAGAAACGCTGGAGAGGGATTTCCGCACTGAGATCCGTGAGCTTCGTTCAGAGATACGGGAAATGAAGTCAAGCATGGACTTCATAAATGCCGAATTCGAAGGCATCAAGAATAAGCTTACTAGCGGAGCCGCGGTAGACAACGCCTTAAAAACCGAAAATGAAGAGCTGCGGCAAAGATGTATGGCGCTTGAGAGGGAAGTTAAAGAAAACCGTAGGACCATTGTGCAATGTGAACAACACTCTCGAGCATACAATCTCGAAATTAAGGGAATAATGTTGAATGAAAACGAGAACCTCTACGAGACACTACGTAGGCTCGGCGATGAAATTAGCGAGCCGATCGACAATTCAGACGTCGAGATCTGTCATAGAGTTCGCACACGAGAATTGAGCAATCAAAACATAATAGTACAGTTCGTACGTCGTGAAAAAACGTGATAAGGTTCTTGCAAAGGCCCGACCAAAGCGACTTAAGAACACAGACCTGGGATTCTCCACTAACGACCCTGTTTTTATTAATGAGCACCTGTGTCCGACCCTAAAAAGACTGCTTGGTAAGGCCACTGCAAAAAAGCGCATCGCCGGGTGGAAGTATGTGTGGGTACGTAACGGCAAGATTATGGCCCGTAAATCTGAAAACACAGATATTGTCTCTATCGAACATGAGGACGATCTCGTTAAGATCTGCTAAGACAAGAAATCTGAGTAAAGACTTGTGTACGCTTTTTATTTTCCTGAAATGGCAGTTAATCTGTTTCTGCCCCAGGGATATCGGCAGTGATAGTGATAAATCAACACGCAAGCTTTTGAAATTGTTTCATTTAAATGTTAGATCAGCCAGATCTAAGCTGGACGAGCTTACGTTTCTTTTTCAATCTTTTGAATGCTCATTTGACGTGATAATGTTCACTGAAACTTGGTATCGAGATGACTCCGATTTTTTTGTTCTTTCCCAATATACTCACTT